TTATAATGTGTTTAAAACCCGAAAACGCTAAATTTTTTCAGTAAAATGACTTTTATTTGTAAAATAAGGTTGAAGTTAAAATATGATTATTTTTACCTATTCCATTATGTAAAACAATATTTTTTAACTAAAAATAATAAAACAAGTTCTTAAAATGTTTATTTGCAAAAATTTGAAATTTTGATGTTATTCGAAGAACAAAAAATTGCATTTTAAATAATTATTTTATCAAATTAATCATCAATATATACAAATAATAAATGTCCATTTTTAATATTAAACATACAACAAGTCGTTTATAACGAGTTATTTAAATTATCTACAACGTTTAAATGGTTGTTTAATAGAAAGTATATTAATAATGTTTAGTTTTATGCAATTGTGATTTGTACAAATTATATCACAAATGGTTTTTATGAATAATTTAAAAACATGTTAATTATTATTATAAACGTGATGTTGTTATTTTTTGGCTAATGAAAACTGTGTTATTATGTACTTTGATATTGTTTTATTTAACTATGTTTTTTAAACAACAGAAAAAAAAACAATTTGATAAATACACAACAAAAATTTTTATTGACATAATAACTAAATTGTTTTTAAAAATTTTATAAATATCAGATAAAAAAATAAATATTACAGACTATTAATAATCTATTAATTGCAAATTCAACAACTGATAATTATAAATTGAAATAAAAAGATGTTAATATATAAGGTTGACGTAAAATTATTTTACCATGAAATATTTCATTTTGGTAAAAAAGTATAAATTTTACCTCATTGGATCTTTTAGATCCAGCCGTTTTTTCTGCACATTTTTTCAAGCTATACATTTTTGGTCAAATCAAAAATAAAATCAAAATAAAATGTTATCACAATTACTTTTGTTGATTTAATATATATTAAAGCAAAAAAATGTTGTTTGGTAACAATTTTAAATTGAAACAAACTAAACATAAATGTTTTTTTATTTTAAATATAATTTTATTTAAAACATAAAACACAAAAACAAATAAGTTTATATTGTTTATTTTTGTGATTTAGAGGTGGTTACAGTTTTGATCATTTGAACATTTTTCCTTGTAAATGAACACAACTCAAAAGAATCAATCGATCGGTTAACTCGATCATCAGTAAATATTCTCTTAATTTCCGAAAACATTCTTTCACGTGTTGTTTCTGTTGCCGGAATACAAATGTATTTCATTGCCACATCATAAAGTTTTGGATACATATGTTTTCCATAAACTACCCACCACTTTCCAAGTTCAGTAACAACTCTTGAATAATAAAGAGTTTTATTATTCAAAAATAAATTTAACTCGGAATATTGAGGTTGTCGAAATAAACCAGTTGTGTGAGGAACAGAAACAACGATTTGGGTTGTTGTGTTTTCATTAGTATTTATATATTTATTTAATATCGTTTTGCTCTTTTCAAACAACTCTCCAAAGAAAGTGTTGGTTGAATAAAAGGGATCTAACAACGTTGAAATAACCCATGGCTCTTTGTTTATTACTTTTTGTAGATGTTTTTCCATGAAATAGTAGAGCGCCAAATAGAACTTCATTTCATTAGAAAGTCTCTCGGTGTTAATTTCAAATTTAAATATTAATTCTTTTAAATAAACACAATATTCCGTTTTTATTTTAAAAATGGTTATTTCTATATATTTTTCATTCCATTTAGCAATTCTATTTTCCACAGCGACTTTTATTTAAACTTTATCAATTTTATCTCGAAGTTTTTTACATTTACAAAAAGCTAAAAAAAATGCTATAGTTTTTCACCACTAAAAGGTGTTGTTTCATTTTTTTATTAATTCTGATACATCAACAATGCTTTCAAGTAAATCAAAATCTGGCATTTTTAGTTTATCAACATGTCTGTTTTTCTTAAACAGTTCCTCTAATCCGAGTCTTTTCTGCAGAACACTTTCTATCATTAAACAAACAGTATTAAATCTGGTTTCTACTCTTCCAACAAACAAATTTCTATAATCTTCATCAATATCATATTCACTTTCTCTTGTAATTAGTGTCGAATTAGTGATACTGGGAAGAATACAACGTTTTTCTTTTTGGAGACATTCGTATTGTAATATTTCAAAGTCTTCTTTTTATTGTTAAACCTTGCAACGATATGGTCACATAAAGATAATTGATCTTCTATTTCAATGACAGTTTCTATTGCATTTCTTATACATGTCTGATAATTATGCGCATTGCAATCCAGTCTATTTATTTTTGGAAGAAATACATGTTGTTTATTTGGAGCAAACGCCGAAAAACTATCTCCAAAAGCACATACCATATTAGCTCCTTCTTCTGTTACTATTATAACTTCACAATCTTTTTCATTTAATGTAATATCATATTCACATAACATTTTACAAAGCGTTTCATAAAGTGATTTTGAAGTTATTGGCCTTTCAAGTGTTGGGGAAGAAAGTAGCATAACACATACATCACCACTTTTGTTTAAAAAATGACACGCAAAAGCAATCGTCTCTCCTTTGTTACGACAGTTAAATGTTCTTCCATCAGAAGTGAACGAAATAAATGACAATCTTTCAGTTGTCATGTATTTAATATTTGCATTATTTCTTTTTTTATCTCTTCTTGTATTTGTTTCATTTCTTTTTTCAATTTTTCACCTCCAGGTGGAATGTACTTTCCATCTGAATTCGTCTTGCAAAATATTTGAAATATTCCATCTTTTATAATTGAAAACGGCAACATTTTTCCTGATATCATTTTTATTAAACATTTATCGTAATTTTCTTTTGTTTTTTTGTCAAGTTTTGTGCCTTCTGTTTTTTAAAAATGTTTATCTTTTTTATTGTAAATTAAATTATGAATGTCTTCCTGTTGTTGTTTAAGATGCTGAATATAACGGATATTTGTCTTTCTTTTTCATTTATTCATTACTAGTTTGTAAACAAAATTACAATTATTACAAAGGCACTCATCTTTGACTGTAATCTTCACTGTAAAGTAATCCATTAATTTGGGTTCTTTTTTGATTTCACACATATTTGTATTTAAGTTCGATCTATTTAAATATTTAAGTTAACTTGTTAATACATTTATAATATTTGAAATTTATTATTTGAAATACAATTTTTTTAAAAATAACAATTCTATGTTTAAACACATTTAAAAACATTTATCCATTGTTTTAATCATGTTTGTTTTTTGGTCTTAATTAATTGATAATGCTGATTTATTTTTTTGTTTTTTATTATTATTAAATTTTTTGTATTTTTTTAATCATTTTTACGATATTTTTATTTTTTATTATTTTTTGGTAAAAAGGTAAAATTTTAAACTTTACACCGGAATAGGTAAAATAAATTTTACTTTTTTTCCGTCAACCTTAATTATAATATCATTTATTTAAATAAATATATTATTTAAATAAATATTGATAGTAAAAAAAATATAATCGATACTAAACACAATCAGGTTAAAAAACAATTAAAACTTTTATAAATTGTGTTGTTGTATTTATATGAAATAATATAATCGTTTACTAATAAGTTTGTATTATAATTTTTATATTAAAGTAGTTGTGTATATATTAAAAATAAACTGTTTTTCAAAACTTTGTACTGAAATGACCCAATTTATTGGACTTATTATTCCTAAATTATCTTTTCTTTTCTTAACCCTCATTTTTTGTTATAAATATTTACTCGAAAAAAACAAAATAACGAACCCGGATTTTTTAAATTTTACTTGACAAATAAATCTTGCACCAATAATTTACTTGAAAAATATAAAAAACAAACTTGGGATTAAAATTTTGATTACCATAACACAAAATTGTTAAAAAATGAAAACACGACTTTTTTATTCAATATCCACGTTTACAGAATCACCAAGTTGTGTTTCAGATAAAAATGAAAAGTATAAATGAGTAAAACAAGCATTATATAAATCGGTTAAGACTTTACAATCGAAAATTTTTATTTTATAACTGTTTATTTGATTTGATACTCTTTTGATGAATGGCCTTGTTTTTTTAAATGTTTGTTGTTTTATGTTATCGATGGCCAATATTTAATTGTTAAAATAAATAGAAAATAATTATTCGTTAAAGTGTTGCATTATTTGATGCAATGGTGTCCTCCGTCACATCATTTGTTATTCATTAAATTGTAGTTTATCTCATGTTTATTTGAAAGATATAATTTTACTGACGTTTAGTTATCAAATGGATCACTGACCAAATAACGAACCTGGAAAATCGGAAAAGATTTACCCAATATTTGGGTGATTTCCCGATTTTTTGTTCAATAATTGAAATTGTATTGATTTTTAAGGGTTTTAAACTGTGTACCGTTGTTGGTTCAACAAACAAGAAAAATAGAAAATAAAAACAAATAAAAAATAGTAAATAACGGGAAACTAGGACAAAGAGTTTATATAAATTTTGGAAACAGTACAGAGTTTTGAAATACAGTTAACTTTTTAAAAAGTTGTTTTGTTTTTTTTAATTAAGAAATTTGAATCGTTATTTATATTTTGATAGATTTCAAAAGTAGCAATCGTATATTTTTACAATAATTTATTTATTATTGTAAATTATTGTATATTAATTTGAATACAAGACAACAAAAAAAATATATCTATCCATAAAACGTCCGAAAATAATTCCACTCAATGAAACATAAAAACAAGCTAATAATTCAATTTTAAATTAGTTTGACCAATAAATATAATCAATAATAACAATGAAAATTAGTTATAATTTGTATTATTTAATAAAAAGTATCAATTTAATTTATTAAATTCATTATGATTTTTTATTAATTTAGATTATTTTTATTTAATACAATAATAGTTTAAAATTTTATTTACTGATCGTTTTATATGGTAATATTATATATATGTTAATGAATATAATATTAAAATATGTTAAATTAAAACAATAAATTTCTATCGCAAACATTTTTATCGAATTAAAAAACATAAACCTTATGCAAGAATATGAGATTGTTGGCACATTTAAATGGAAAAAAGAAGGAGAAGCACCAAAAAGCTCATGACACGTTAAAGATTCGCTTAATCCGACTTACTCGTTTGATCCCAAAGGACGCAATTTAACTGAAGTTGAGTGTTTTAGGTTGTTTTTTGTGAAGAGATAACAAATAACCTTTTATTGTTTTCAAATAAAAAAATAGCCAAAGAACATAAGACTGATGATAACAAACTTCCTAAAACGAGCATCCTGAGGTACCTAGGAATTCTTCTCTACATGGGAGCTCACCATGATGTCATAAATCCCGTGGAAGAGCTTTGGTCAATCGACCACGGAAAATCTATTTATAGAAATAGCATGCCACGTGACATGTTTAAATTCATTTCTTCACACATTGAAACTTACGATGTGGGCCAGCCAGATGATGTTTGTGATGATGCATCAGACACTTCAGATGATGGGGATGTCGAAGAGAAAGAGGAAGCTGAAAACGGGCCAGAAGGAGAGTATTTCAACTGTGCGAAATATTCAGATCGAGATTTCAGAGATCTCTCTGAAGAGCAACTCAGGAAAGATGTCAGAATCAAAAAGGGCATCGTTGGTAGTGGAGTTGTTAAAGTCGTCCCTGCAATAACTCCAAATGCACACGACAGCTTTTCTAAAATTAGAGTGATGTTAGATAAGTTTATTTCTAACCTTGTCAACCAAACCTATTACAAACTTAGTAATAGTGTTTCGGTTGACGAACATTTGTGTTCTTATAAAGGGCATATGTGGGCTAAGGTGTTTATTAAGTCCAAGCCTGGACGTTATGGTATAAAGTTTTGGGTTTGTTCTATTTTTACTAAATGAGTTTTATTTATGAAGTCAAAATAACGGATAGTTATTATTGGTTTGACATGTATGATCAAATTTAATAATTTAATTATTTGTTTATTTGAGTTATTTATAGTTTTCTAACTTGTAGATGTGTGCTGACTGTGAGACAGGAATGACTCTAAACCTCCAAATGTACTGTGGTAAGTGTGGTGGTAAGGAGAACAATCAGGGCTTTAGAGTGGTCAGGGACATGGTGCTACCCATGTTAAGCCGTGGTAACAAGTTTACCGTTGTGTGTGACAACTTCTTCTGTATGTTAAGGTTGTCACACTACCTTGCTTCGTGTGTGTGCCAACTTTTGTGAACCATAGAGATTAATAGGAAAGAACTTTTTGATGAAGCAAAGACCATCAAATGGAGAACTCCCGATACCACCATCTTTTTCTCGAAAGGAAAGTGTAAACATATCACTTACTACAACAAAAAAAGAAGCTTGTTTTGGTCTTGTCAACCTGCCACGAAAAGAATGAAATTGAAGTCGTCGAGCAGGATGTGTTCATTGGCAAAGAAAAAATGACAATACACAAACCCCAGCCCATTTTTGATTACAACCACAAAATGGGTGGGGTTGACACTGTGGATCAGATGACCAGGTATTATACGTGTAGACGTCGAACAAACAGGTGGAACATCAGGGCTTTATATGATATGATTGATATAGCTGCCTTAAACGCGTATAAAACAAACTCAAATTACCACCCTTGCAAACGAGTGGATTTTTGAACAATCTTTCTGGTGCTTTAATGAAAATGAAATGATTTTTCTATTTTGTTTAATTTTTTATAAAGTAGGAACTGTTTATTTCATTCAATACGTTCTTTTTTATTGAACCTCGAAAAAATTATCGTGAAATAAAATAAAAATAGGGGTCATTATACCATTTTTTTCTTTTTATGGATAAGTTTTTGAAAACTTGTGTTATAACGACATCGTGATGTTGTTACTCAACATTATAAACAACCATCGTTGAAGTATATGCATAAGTATTATGGTTATAATCATGTTATAATGGTGTTTGTTGATAATTCTATCAAATTGAAAAATTTTTATTACAAAACTATTATTAATTAAATTTCCATTTTTATAAATAATATTTTTTATTATATAATATAGTTCAAAATAATTTTTTATTATTTGTTAAGTTTTTTTGCTATTTGTTTTTTTTGTTTATAATTTGTATTATCCTTTTATTTTTAGTTAAAATTATTTGTTTGTTGCCCAAAAATGCACAATTTGAAAATGCATAAACAGTAAATGCAAAATAAGCATTTGATTACCATATACAATAACATTGTATAAGAAAATGATAATATCAAATCAATTTTGCCCTTTGTTTTTGTTTGAAAATGATAAAAAATAAAATACCAAATAATGAATTCATATCTTGCTTCTTTGACAGTGGCACGACTTGAAACCCAACAGGTGACCATAAAACCTCATGGTGATCAAAGTTTATACAAACGCGACTATATTGACTGTTTAATTCATTTTCGAGAATTTTTTCGATTTTGCGATTTTTGATACTTTTGAAAATGTATTTTAGATATTTTTTGTTTATTTTACACTTATTTTCTTTAAGATTTATTTTTCAAAGTCGGAACAAACAAAAGTGTCTTTACGTCTTATCTTATTTCTCTACAAAAAAATAGTAAAACTCAATTTTTAAATTTTTGAATTTTTCAAAGTTTACAAAAAAACTATTTAATTTCCCTTGTAATTGTTTTTGAGATCAATTGCATATTGAAATTTCAATACACCTCAAAGTCTATGCTTTATTATTTTTTCTTTGTTATTTTATGATGTAATTGATTTTGAATAATTTGAACCAATATGTTTTATGATGCAATTTAGTCTTTGTTATATTTTATAATTAATTTTATTATCGTAATTAGTTGTGGACATCTCAATAAATATTTGATCTGACTTTTCCATTGAACTGTGACTTGTTTCTGAAAGGATCAAGTAAAAAAAAAGTGAACCTTTGTTCATCCCAACTTCAACAAAAAATTCACTTTTTTACTATAATTTATAACAATTTACCATAAAAATTTACTAGAGCCGTCGTTCCAGGGTGTCTAGCTTTTTTGGAAAAAAATTATAGAAAAAAGGTCACATTTACATTTCGATTAACTAAGATTTTTATTTTTAACAAATTTTGATTTTTCTTGTTTTCGAAGGGTTAATTATTAGTTCGTTTATCGGGATTTTTTTTTCATGTGTATTACAATACACGTTTTCCATTTTTGAATAAGTGAAATTAGATTTAAAAACGTTATTTTTACCATTTTAAAGAAAAAAATTAAAAAAGATTGTTTTAGGGTGATCGTTTCGACCCGCAACCACAACTACAAATAGAACAGAAACTATAATATTTTTTGTTATTTACTAAAAAAACGTATTATGTATAACAAAAAGAAAAAACAATAATTTTTAATTTTTCAATTTATTTTTTATCGGTTTTCAAATTTTCTGTTTAAACGCCATTAATCTATGGTTATTAAACATTTGGTGTTAATAAAACAACACAAATTACTACAGAACATTATAATGATGTTATATTATTTTATAAAAGCGTTGTTTGTCTTGTAAAATATATATTCACACAATAAACATTACATTTACTACAATTAAAATCAATAATTGTTTTGGTATAGTTTGTTAATAGTTTAATATTATATTTTTACAGTTATTTTTATGCACATGTTAAATCCTAATTACAACTGGAATTCAAACAACTTTTTTATGTTTTAATTCGAATTCTTTACGCTTATCTCCTTTTAAAGACTGAATGAATATATTTAACCCATCATAATTTTCTGTTTTATTCCAAGAAGGACAACACTTTGCCATATGTCCTCTACCAAGGCATATTTTGCAAATAATACCTTTCAATTCAATTATTTGAAGTGCTGGTCCAAGAGGTTTAAATTCCGTTCGTTTCTTAAAGACTTTGGTAAAAAAATGGTTTTAGACATAGTCTATTAAATTGGATGGTTTCACCTTTGCAGAAAGAAGTACAACCAGATCTTTTGAACTAAACTCACTATCAACCTCCTGCAACTCCTCATTCCTTTTTAACACGTTTTCTGATGTAATTTACGAATGATATACCGAATTGACAAGTTCGAACCACTTTTGTTTTCGAGTGGCATTTTTGAGAATCGTGTCGACCATTTCATCGAATATCACAATGCGGTCCTTTCTTTCCCAGTTGAATAATGAATTATTTATAGTCCTTTGATAAAACTCATGTTTGGCTATTTTAGTTTTTTCTAAAAATATTTTCTTCCCAAAATCGTCCTTTGAAAAAAGCGATTTCTTTAAATTTTTTACAGGGTTAAAGAAATTGCAATACACTTGGTGAAAACAAGGATAGTACCTTCCGTGTTGAACAAAATCAACACAAGTACACACTCTTTTACTGCTTGTTTCGAGAGGTCCAAATTCGTCCAACATTGAATAATAATTAAGTATCTTTTTACCCCAATCACAACGTATTTCTGCTGCAGCTTCAACTCCAATGAGTTTGGTGAGTATTTTATAGTCTTCATCTTTGAATCCAGTGACACTATCAAACAACAACTTTCTGGCTTTTACTATAAATATAGTTGTAACTTCCACTAACCTTACTATTTTACCACAGTTTGTTGTTTTATTGTTCCGAAAAAAACCTTCTACAACATTGTAATCGTGTCTTTCGTGTGTCTCTTTGTAAACTCAGGAAGCCAATTGAATTTAGTGTCAATCAACTGTTTCAAAATACGTTTTTTATCGTTGGATTTCAACTCAAAAGCTGTAGTCGGTTGTTCTCCGTTACAATATTCAAAGAATTCGGCAAATATCTCATTCTTATCAACACACGTATCCCCACTTTCCACTATACTATCGACACGTTTGTAGTTTTGTATAAATGAGATTAATTCTTCGCTTTTGATAGTTTCATTAATTAACAATTCAAAATTTGAAACAATTTTGGAGTTTATTCCAAATGCAGAGATTAAATAACGTCTAATATGCTTGTGACAAAACACAATATCAACATCTGGATACACTTCTTTGATAGCTGTTGTTTGTGCAATACTCCTGTCAGTAATAAAACACTTAATTAGAACGAAACGACTTTTTAAAAACCTCAAGAAGTCAGTATAGTATGATGTAAATCGATGTCTCATGAATCCAAATGCAATTAACTGTGAGTTTCCATTGATATCTTTACACAATGCAGCTTCAATTGGAAGTTGGAATTTATTCGTAAAAAAGTGTCATTAAAAAAACGTTATTCCGACACAAATTTACACGGATATTGGTATTAAAAAAGAACATTCATCAAATGCACCACATGAGTTG